CTGTCACTATCTCTCTCTCTCTCTCTCTCTCTCTCTCTCAAATAAATTATAAGGGCAGCCCCGGTGGCTAAGCGGTTTGGCGCCGCCTGCAGCCTGGGGTGTGATCCTGGAGACCCAGGATTGAGTCCCACATCAGGCTCCCTGCATGGAGCCTGCTTCTCCCTCTGCCTCTCTCTCTCTGTCTCTATGAATAAATAAATAAAATCTTTAAAAAAAAAAGATTTAAATAAATTATAAAATCTTAAAAAAAAAAAAAAGCTTGCTATTCCAAGTATGCTCTGTGGGGATCATGAGCATTACTTGGGAGTTTACTGAAATGTGGGATCTCAGGCCTGACGTCAGACCTCCTGAATCAGAACCCACATTTTAACAAGAAGCCTTTGTTCCAAAGTCAGACATCTACCTCCGGATCTAGAAGTAGTGGAAGCAGCAGCACCCCTACCCTCTCCCCCACTCAACTCACCCTTCTCTGTAAGAGGGCTTCGCGGAACCTATCTGGAGTCAGTCAGTTTCCTGGGATCCTGCCCCTGTGGTGAGCATAGCAATATAAGACAACAAGGTGTCACTGGAATTTGCTAGGGTTCAATTCCAGGCTTTTTCTGTGCTCACTCCACCAGCCTTCTCTATGATTTGTTTCAACAAGCATGATTTTTTTCTCTTCTGCCCTTACATCTCCCTTACCCTCTCTCTCTCTCTCTCTCTCATGCTCTCTTCTCTCTTTCCTATTTCTTTATTTTGGGGTTTACAAACAGGGCCGGAACTCACATGTTTTGATCAGCTATCATATTATTTTAAGAAAATTTGAATTTGAATGCCTTTAGATAAGCACATGTTCTTGAGGGCACCACATTCCCCACCAAGCCCTATAGTCTTACACCCTCCCCACTGCATTAATACTTCACTAATTTGCATTAATACTTCCCTGACCTTTATGAAGATATGAGTCTGTGAATCAAGCAAAGGCCCTTTTTCTTACACCTGCTGGAATCCCTTCAGGGTTGAAGAGTTTACCATCTTCCACTGTAAAGGGACCAAAGTGCTGCTGTTGAACAATTCCTTTCAATTTATTTCCCTTTTTTTTTTTAAGTTTTGCATTTGGTACTTTATTTTTTTAATCCCTTTTTAAAAGATTTTTATTTATTTATTTGAGAGAGAGAGAGAGAGCACGAACAAGAGGGAAGGACAGAGGGTGAGGGAAAAGGACTCCCCGCTGAGCAGGGAGCCCAATATAAGGCTGATCCCAAGACCCTGAGATCATGACCTGAGCCAAAGGCAGATGCTTAACCAAATGAGCCACCCAGATGCCCCTATGTTTTTAATTCTTAATTCCAGTATAGTCCACATACAATGCTACCTTAGTTTCAGATGTGCCTACGTCACCTGGTGCTTATCATGATACATGCACTCTTATTTCCCTTATTTTTATTATGGAATTCCCCACATCAGTTATTTCCTGTCTCTGAAATTCTCATATCACATCATCTCTAGCCTTGTCTCTCTCTATTGTAACATATCCTAGGAATGTGAACCTGATAAGCTAATATTGCTGGATATGAATTTAAAATGGTTTGTAACTAATCATTCCTGGCACCTTACTCAAGCTTAGTCATCACTCACCTTATGAGACCCACAGTTGCATTATTTTCTTCACCATACTTTATCAGTAGATTGTTCTTTATTCTTTGGAAATCAGTTATTTTTTATATTCAAAATCCACATAAGAAGCATTGTTGCCCTATGTTTCAGTAATTTCACTATTAGGTATATATCCAAAAGGAATGAAAACATTTGGCTATTTATGAACTTGTTTATTTTTTTATTTTTTATTTTTTTTTAGAGATTCACTTTTTTTTTCTTAATTTTTTATTTATTTACTTATGATAGTCACAGAGAGAGAGAGAGAGAGAGGCAGAGACATAGGCAGAGGGAGAAGCAGGCTCCACGCACCAGGAGCCCGATGTGGGATTCGATTCCGGGTCTCCAGGATCGCTCCCTGGGCCAAAGGCAGGCGCCAAACCGCTGCGCCACCCAGGGATTCCCTACAAACTTGTTTAAAAACACATATAGCAGTATTATTCATAACAGCCAAAAGGTGGAAACAACCCAAATGTCCATCACAGATGAATGAATAAATAAAATGTGGCATATCCATGCAATGGAATATTATTCAGGTATAAAAAAAGGAATGAGGTACTAATATGCGCTACAATGTGGACGACACTTGTAAACGCTGTAGTAAGTGAAAGAAGCCAGCCACAAAGGGCCACATGTTACAGAATTCCATTTGTAAGAATTGTTCAGAATAGGTAAATCTACAGTGACTAAGGGTATATTAACGGTTGCCTAGGGCTGAGGTTGGGGGTGGTTTGCAGGTTAGAAGGTAACAAGGTTACCTTCTGATTAGAAGTCTGGGTTTCTTTTTGAGGTGATAAAAATATTTTAAAACTGATTTTGGTGATGGATGTGCATGACTCCATTTAGTATTTAATGACTATACTAAATAGCCATTGAATTGTATACCCTAAGTGGGTGAATTATATGGTATGTGAGTTATATCTCAATAAAGCTGTTTTTAAGATCCACAGATACAATCAAATGATTTTTATCAAGGATGCCAATGGGGGAAAGGATAGTTCTTTTCAATAAATGTTGGGAACTAGATATCCATATGCAAAAGAATAAATTTGGGCCCTATGCCAATTTAAAAATTTAACTCAAAACAGATCAAAGATCTGCAACTATAAAACCCTTAGAAGAAAACATAGAAGAAAACCTTTATTACATTGGATATGGCAATGATTTCTTAGATAGGACACCAAAAGAATAGGCAACAAAAGTGAAAAATTGCACTATATCACAATTTAAAACTTCTGTACTTCAAAGGACACTGTCAATAGCCTGACAAGGCAACCTTCAAAATAGAATATTTGTAAGTCATATATCTGATAAGGGGTTAATATCCAGAATACATAAAGAATTTCTACAATTCAAAACTAAAAACAATCCAGTTAAAAAATAAGCAGAGGACCTGAACAGACATTTCTCAAAAGACAAACAAATGATCAACGAGTATATAAAGAGATGTTCAACACACGTAGGAAAATGCAGATCAAAACCATGAGATATCACCTCATACCCATTAGGAGAGCTGCTATCAGGAAAAGAAAAAGAGCAGAAAGTAACAACTGTTGGTGAGGCTGTAGAGAAAGGAAACCCTTGTGCACTGCTGGTAGGAATGTAAAATCATCCGCTGTGCAAAACAGTGTTACAGTTCCTCAAAAAATTAGAAATAGAATCCCCATATGATCCAGCAGTAGTATTCCTGGGTTCCAAAAGAACTAAAAGTCTTGAAAAATATTTGCACACCCATGTTCATAGCAGCATTATTCACAATAGCCAGAATTGGAAGCAACTCAAAGGCCCATCAATGGATGAATCCATAAACCAAACGTGGCGTATACACACAATGCAATATCATTCAGTCTTTAAAAGAAATTCTGATTTCATTCTGATTACATTCCATAATACAAATGAACTTTAAGGACATTATACTAAGTTAAATAAGCCAGTCACAAAAAGACAAATACTCCATTTCATTTATATAAGGTATCCAGAGACATCAAATTATTAGAGATGAAAAGTAGTTGCCAGGGGTTGAAAGGAGGGAGGAATGGGGAGTTGTTCAATGGCTATAGAGTTTTAGTTTTGCAAGATAATAAGATAATAGATATTGGTTGCACAACATTGTGACTATATTTAACACTACTGAACTGTATGCTTAAAATGGGCTCCTCACTCAGCACTATATATCCTACCTGTCACCGTTGTCCCAGAGCCAAACTACTCATTTTGAGTCCCTTTGTTGTTCCAGGTATGGGGCTCAGGAATGTGTCTTGTTAAAAGGTGTTATACCAGATGTTGGCAAATCGAACTCCAATAAAAAAAATATATACAAAAAAATAAATAAACCTAAAAAAATAGGTTTTTAAATGGAAACTATATATTTTACTCCTCATACATATTTTTTGTGTAATTATTTTCAAATTTTACTTCAATCTATATTGTGTCTCCATTAATAAATATATATGGCTATGCTTAAAAAATAATAATAAAATAAAAGGACTTCAGAGATTTCTGATGACAGGTATAGAGCTAGAAACCTGTGTTCCAACCTTTGTCTTTTCCCTGATTGTCTTTCAGAACCCATCTGCCCCATTGAATCTCATCCCCTTAAGCCCCCGAAATTAGTTTTCCTTTATACAGGGGCAGATATACTAAAATATTTAATTTTGGCGTAATTTACTTGACCCCATGGCCTTTCCACCATTGAAACTAGATTATAAGGCTGAGTGACACTAAGAAAGGCAGATCATGGAGAACAAAAGACAGATTTGGGCTCTTCGTTTCTAAAAGAGGCTCTTGAATAGATTGAAAAGCCAAGGAATTCAATAGTAAGAGTCTGTTCTTTTGGGGTCTATTCAGATCTGAAAAGGTAAGGACTTGGTGCACAGGGTTTATGCCTTAAGCCAAATAGCTGGGGAGATTCCTTGATTGAGGAAGATCCAGTGCTCCTACTTCAAAAGAATTAGTCTAGCATAAGAAATGGAAGGATTTAATTACTGGGACCTTGTGCCACACCTCCGCTCAGCACAGGGCAAGAGGGGACCCAAGGGAAACCCAATAGGTTTGAGTCCTATCCCAGGGACTCTTGAGGAGGTAGCAGACTTCTCAGAGTCGTCCTTGTCTTCAACAAAGAACAGCAGCCAAGTGACAGAAATGGCATCCAGTGTGTCAGCTAATCTTCTAAGTCTCCCTTAGACCCAGAGGGACAAGACTTCCCAAGGTTTTCCATGCATACAGGAGGATTTCAAAGGTGGCAGAAAGAGGAGTGATGGATGAGAAGGAGCTCTGGGTCCATGAGGAGAGGATGCCATCAGAGGGAGTGGCTTAGATGACACAGGCTGGCATCCACAGACGGACCTGTCTTTTTTGCACCAGAATAGAGGCTGCCCCACCAATGGCCATACAGACAACTTACATCTCAGCAGAAACTGGAGAGGACAGAGAAGCAGCCAGCACCTGACACTCCTTCCCATGGGTGTCTTAAGCTCCTCCTCTCACTTGCCCCTCTCTCGAAATAGCCAGAACTCCAAGGAGACTGGGGGAGATGGTGCTCTGAATTAACTGGGAAATCTCTGAAGTGATTGAATCTGACTGGAAACGACTGGGTTACACTCTGTCAGCAGAAATGGGGGCTTGAGGTAAGACTAAATTTAGTAATGGGGGCGTTACATGCCTGAGATTGGCAGATTGCGATCATTCTTAGTAGATACGTAGGAACCTAAAAATAGTGCTGAATCGTATAACTCAGTAATAATGTGATGATTCTTAATTGTACATTTTGTTGGACACTTTGGGACGCTCGGTGGCAAATATGCTGACAGAGGTACTTTGAGCAAGTCTTGGTCCCAAAGGAAAATGAGTGCTGCTGGAAATTTATAGAAGCTTTCAGAAGGCTGTCCTAGCAACTGAGAGAGCAGTGTGTTCAGGGATCCTGTGGTTTATTTTTAATCTGAAGCCCAAATCTGTATAGAGATGTCATTAGTGCTGACTAATGATTTTCAGATGATTATTCTGGGCTCCGATTTATCAGACAGTGTGGCAGTGATTGTGAAATTTCTAAAATTTACATCTTCAAGTATGGATCTTAAAGCCAGTTTGATAGATCTTATATGGTCTAGAGCTGCGGTCTTCAGACTTCCTTATCAAGAGGATAAATAAATAGCTAAATAATTCTGAGCAAGCAGCCTCAGTAATTGTGAGCATGCAACCCCAGACCCGGCCTTACAACTGCTAATTTCAGAGGGGCCTTTAGTAACACCTGCCAACCCTACCGCATGCATATCATCAGTTTATTCACTTTTCCTATCCTCGGGGATTATGTTCACCCCTTCTTCATTCTCCTTAAATCTCCACTTCTCCCCAAGCTCAGTCAGCTGTTGACCTTGCCTTTTTAATTCATTGAAAAAACACAGCAGTCTAAAGAAAACCTCCACTTCCTCCATCCCCACATCCACCAACACACCCACTCTCCGCCCTATATTCTGCTTTCCCTCTAGTTACAAGGAATGCATTGGGTGCTCGGATAAACCAACTGGCCCCCTCTCACCTACTCCATGACGTGTCTCCAAGTGGGTGCCTTCTTAAATTCTGCACCCACGCTCTTCTGCTTGCCTCACCGAGTCCTGGCTCCACCTACTGGCACCACCTTAAAAATGTATGCGGCCTTGGCTACTTCCTACCACCTCTACTGCTGGGGACCTTGGCCTCATTTAAACCAGGACAACAGCTCCTGTAGCTAGTGAACCAGCTGGTCCTTCGACTTCACCACCCTGGCTGACTATTCTCAACAGGGCAGACCTAATTCTTTTTCATTGTAAGTCACTTGAGGTCACTCTTCTCTCAAGGCCCTCCACTGACTTCCCCTCTACTCCAAGCAAAAGCCAAAGCCCTGGCAGTGGCCTAACGGCAGACATGAACACATGATGTGAGGCTAGCTACTCCTCCGACCTCAGCTCCTACCACACACTCTGCACCACCCCACCTCCACCCCTGCCCCAGCCCCTGCCCCAGCCACCCTGACCTCCCTGCTAGACTTTGAATGTGGCAAGCACACTCCAGGACAAGGCCTTTGCTTTTGCTGCTTCCTCCACCTACACTTCTCTTTCCCTGGATGCCTTCATGCTTTGGTGCCTGTTTTTGACATCTCTGTTCAAATTCATTGCATTATCAGAAAGGCTTTCCCGACCACCCTACCTAGAAGAATAATCCCCCTTATCCTGAGGGATTGTGCTCCATAATCTCACACAATCTGACAAACTTCATTCCCACCCAACTAGGATGTAAGCTGTATGGTACCTTGTCCGCCATTTTGTCCACTGATGTACATAGCAGGCCATCAATAAATAGGTCTTAAATTAATATATCCACATTTATAATTCTTTTCATGCATACCTATCAATCCATATGTAGTATTAATAAATATTTTTTCATTTTGGGATAAAAGTTCTAATATTCCCCTTTCTCGTCACCCCATCTTATTCTATTAAGCTTCCTTAGGCAAGACTATTAGGCCCAGCCCATGCACCACCCCCTGAGGGTCCCTTGTCATGGTGACCCAATATTCTGGAGGGTTGGTGTCATACTTTCCCTGCCTGCTCAGGAGAAAAGTAGGATGAGAACTACTGGCTCAGAATTTACTGTGTTATTTTTACCATAACATTTCAGAAATGGTCTACTGTGTCTATCAAGGAAATACAGCTGTTCTCCAGAATTCCATTTTTAAACCACAAAAACATCTTGACGCCCCCCACCCTATTCAGTGATGATGAATTTATTCAAATCTAAATTAAAAATTAGGGGAAAAATTCACTTATATATAAACATATTCATATGGCTATATAATATGTATGTAGATAAAAATGTTGCTACTTATATAAACGCATATACATGTTTAGCAACCTATCAACTTTGCATATATGCTTCTCTTAAAAAGCAAAGCTGTTGTTAATTAAAAATTAACTGTAAAAAGCTATAAAAATTAACACCAACTGTTACTGACCCAAATAAAGTATTTTTAAATATAATCTAGGGGGTGCTTGGGTGGCTCAAATCGGTTAAGTGTCCTACTGGATCTCAGCTCAGGTCATGATCTCAGGGCCCCATATTGGGTTTCTCACAGGACATGGAGCTTGCTTGTCACTCCCCCTCTGCTCCTCCCCCACCCCTCTCTAAAACAAATAAATAAAAATCTTTTAGAAAATAAATAAATGTAATCTGGGTGTTGTAAAATGCAAAGCTTTTGTTCATCCTAGTCTAAAACAATAACACCCTGGAAGTTAACCAAAAACACATTCCCCCCCTCCCGTGGTTTCCTTATGTGGAAATAATTGGAGTCCAGGCTACCCCTTCCCCACCTCTGCTTTGTGACCAAGGACCTTTCTATGTCCCACCTTTGGTTGGGCTCCGTGGGGAGCGCACAGGAGCAATGCAGACGGTGAGCAGGAGGGGCAAAAGCACTGTTCCACTCGGGAAGGAATCCAGGTGGTTGGAGGAGGGGGGGGTCAGGGCTCAATTTTCCCAACAACAAAAACAGAGGTGATGCTTATGCTTCTCCATGGACAGGATGTCCCCAGAGGTGCAAAGTCAGCGCAAAAGGAGATTTCCACAGGGGGAGGGGGTGCCAATGAACAGGCATGCAGGGAGAGGGGAACGGCCCCTAATTTCTCTCCTGTTTGTTTGGAAGGGGACAGACAGCCTGACTTTAGCCTATTTTCCTTTTCTTTCTAAACAAAAGGTAGCCCCAAAGGTTAGGCAGGGCCAGAACACCGTGGAGAGCCCCGGACGCTGACATCATTATAAAAGAGGAGCCACTGAGACACGGATTCCAGGCTTTACTGGACACAAGTGGTCCCCCCGTTGGCTTTCACTCGTGCCTGTGCACACCTCGAATGCACACCTCCACCTGAGCCCCGCCACAGAAGGGTGCCTGCCGCAGGCCCCTGCTGCTGAAGCTCGGGAGCCAGGGCAGGGAGGCGACATCACCCACCCATTTTTAAAAAACCAAAACGGAGGCTCGAATGTGCAACAGGGCCCCCGGGGAACATTCACGCCAACGCCTCCCGGGCCTTCCACGCTCACCTGGCGGCTCACCTGGCCGCTCACCTGGCTGCGGCCCCCCGCCCGCGCCGTCTCTTGGGGGCCTGCTCGCCAGGTGGCCGGCACGGGGGACAGGGGAGGGAGGGAGGCCAGAGGATCTGAGTCAAAACTCGCAGCCCACCAGCTGTCCCCGCAGGGGCCGTGCAGAAGGCGGCTCAGAGCGCAGGTGAGAGCCCCTGGCGCACCCGCAGCTCCGCACCCGGTGCATTTACACGGGGGGGGGACGGTCCCGGGGGCGGGGGACAGCGCGTGGTCAAACACCTGGCCCGGACTCGGTTGTCCTCCACCCTAACCTCTGGCTGATGCTTTCAAAAGTCCAGATGCGGGGCTCCCCGGGTGGCTTAGGGGTTGAGCACCTGCCTTGGGCCCAGGGCGTGATCCTGGAGACCCGGGATCAAGTCCCGCATCGGGCTCCCTGCAATGGAGCCTGCTTCTCCCTCTGCCTGGGTCTCTGCCTCTCTCTCTCTCTCTCTCTCTCTCTCTCTCTCTCTCTCACTCTCTCTCTCATGAATAAGTAAATAAATAAAATCTTAAAAAAAGAAAAAAGAAAAAAGTCCTCCTAGCTAATTCCGAAAGCATGAGCCCAGACTCAAGCTCAAGCCTCTTGGATACACGATGACTCTTTAGGAAAAGGTAGCAAGAGGGACACTTCCCTTTCAAACAGTTCCAGTATTTAACTGAAATAGTTTTTATCCATCCTCTTACGATATCGCTGGGACAATATTAGATCACGCAGAACAGTACAAAAGATAGACAAATCTTACCTGCCTTGGAGATCAGCTCTGCTGGTATTTTTTTTTTTTTATGTGGCTCCTGCACCCACGTGCGTGTTCAGGTGTGTGCTTCGTAACCACCTTTTCCTGCTGCAATTATTTTTACGAAACAATACTTACTGTAAAATAAGTACTTTTTAACTTAATTGTAAATACTTATTTACAGAGTAGTATTTGCCCAGGGATACAAATTTCAAACAACATCAGGGAGGTGAAAAGACCTACCCTCAAGTCCTCCCCCCTTCAGCTTCAAACTCCTACTCCCTAGTGTAACCACTGTCTGACAGTTTGTGGGATAGTCTTCTAGAACCTTCCCGGAGAGAAGGGTAGACTTTTTTTCATAACCAAAGACTGCATCATGTATACTGTTTCACCACCTGGTTTTCACTCAGTAAAATAGTAGAGGTATATTTCCATGTCAATACATATAGATTTGTGTGGGTCTTTTAATTACTTTAGAGATTCATAATAAGAACATATGGATTCAGGCACCTGGGTGACTCAGTGGTTGAGTGTCGGCCTTTGGCTCAGGTCGTGAGCCCAGGATCCTGGGATCCAGTCCTGCATCAGGGTCCCTGCAGGGAGCCTGCTTCTTCCTCTGCCTGTCTCTGCCTCTCTCTGTGTCTCTCATGAATAAATTAATAAAATCTTAAAAAAAAAAAGAAAAGAAAAGAAAAGAGAGCATACCGGATCTTCTCCAAGCATTGCCCTATGGGTGTAGATTGTCTTCTCCCTTCCTTCCTTCATCTATTTATTCATTTCTGCTGGTA